TTTATTCTATGTCCCGTTCTCAGGTTATATGTCCCAATAGGCACATTCAAGCCTCGGCTAATGGGGAAATTGTGCGTATCACTCTGCTGTTTAATCACCTCGGCGCCCCTTGCATGTCTGCTGGAGTGTGATTTTGTGTGGATAAAGCTATTTTTGCTGTTGGTTCTCACCTCGTGTAGTCGGTCGTCCACAGTTTGTCTACTACTCTTAGTTCGATGAAGAGCACTTCCAATCACGTGTTCCGTCTCCTTTATGGACCTGCCGCAATGCGTGCATAGTTCTTTTTTAGGCTTACATGCAGCCTGTTGGGCATGTCATGTCACAAGGGAGGTATACTGACGCCTGTGGAGAGATCTTGGTTTCAGGGGTGAGATTATAGTGAGATTATCTTGCTTGGCCATGGGTGCAGTGTGATCTACTGATATTTGCAGGTTATCGGTAGTAGGAGCATCTATGTCTACTTCATGTGTAGGATCGGTGGATTTTCTAGGAGTGTTCTCATGAACTTTGAGACCCATTCCAGTGTTACTGCTCCTTTTGGGTTTCCCTTCACTTTCGCGTGTAGTTTGTTCGCCTACTACAATGCAAGTGTCACACTGTGCCTCAGTATCCTTCGGTAATTTGGCACTAACGCTATTCATGATTTATGTTATAATCGTGTTCGTATCTAAGGTGTTCTTAGCTACATGTTGTTGGTTGGGGTTTTTGTCCAAGACTATTTTAAGATTTTTGAATTTTGTAGTAAAGGCAAAAAAATCCCCAGGTTTCCTAAATTGTTCGGATATTATAAAGCTTTCATTGCTTTAAGTATAGGACATGTGCGTTTTAACTCTTTTTTATGTAGTCTAATACACTGACAGGGTGTACTTACAGAGGTTTGCAGCTCTTAACAAGGAGTGCTGAACCGACTTTATGGGCTCATTGTCAGGTACTTTGTAAACTATGGCGTTCTGTTTGGAAGCAAGTCTTTTAACAACTTCTCTCGACAGATAGTCCATAGCATTCGCTAGCTCCTTAGCATGTTCCAATTCAGCATCAGTTGGTTTAGTCCTGAATTAAAAACGTTTTAGGAAAGTGAGATCCCCCAGTTTCTTTTTAAGATGAGAGATTGTTTCCGGTTACCAGAACAAGTAGTTTTAGTTTTGTCCTGAGTTCATTTATTTGTAGCTGCATGTCGTTTATTATGCAGACTAAGTTAGTAATCTCTGCCTTTTCTGACAGGATATTTTCCACCTGTATTACAGGGGTTAGCATTATGTAGGAACCGTTTGTGTTGGGTAAAACACTAATTAAAGCTGATTTAAGGGGTGATAATGCGTTATTAAATAAGCTTAAGCTATTTTCTAAATTACTAGTGTCCCTAAGAACACGCATTTTTTGGTGTTTTGCCCATTATTATTGGTGTTAATATGACAGAACCAAAAAATGAATATCAGCGAAAACACGCACAAAAGTGTCATCAAATTCGAACGTACCGCGGAATTTCTAGAATCCAGGTAATTACCAACCTGAATAGGTGCAGTCACTAGCAAAAACTATATGGGTCTCTGATTGATGTCACTGCGTGATCAAACTGGGAAAAAATCAACTCCTTGCAGACAAACTCTTTAAAATTCAGATAGTTAATAAAATCTGCTCGACATGATAAAATCACGATAAAAGACAAACTACTCATAAGTAGTATGAGCAAAAACGTAAATTATCACCGATGCAGAGTATATTTTTCATAATTTGATTATAATCATGTGACACATTATTTTACACCTCAAATGTTCACGTGAAAAATGATGCTACAATAGGTGATCAAACTGCCGGTTGCCCGATGATCATGCAGAATAGCAAGCACTATTTACAAAGTAAACTTGATGCTTCGGCTGTCCGATATGGCCTTGGATCGAGAGACTGATAGTATTCATGAACAATTCCCATTCGAACATCAATGGACAAAAGACAAGTAGTTCAGCGAAAAGTCTTTCTTTTCGGCGAATTCATTTTCATAGGTGTACAATCGCAAATATATATGGTTGTTTTGTGTGTATATACATTAAATTTGCCAAACGGAAATATAAGTAGTAAGTTCAGATGAATTTGATGTTAATATAAGAGGATAGTAACAAAAGTGATGAGTTGTCATAAACGATTGTTAAATAAGAGTTACGTGATAGCGTGAATAGTTTGATGAAAGAGTTGTGCTCAGGGTGTACATGGAAACAAAATAATATACAGAAATACAAAAAAGTTTTAAGTAGCCACAAAAATAAGCATACAAACAAAAGTTAAGTCAAATCAACGGAGTTGTTACCATGAGAGTAAAAGCGGTTGAATAATTATTTTCGTATGTACATTTCTGGTTCCTCCAACTGAATGGTTCGGGCTTCTGCGATGGAAAAAAGACGGAATCGTACTGTCTTTGAAAGGTTGTTCTTCACTTTGTGGATTACTTTGAAGCAGCAGGCGTTTGTTCAGATGGAATGACCAGTGTTGACGGGATGCTCGATAATTGCACTCATTATACGGCCATTACTTCCTTTCTGCAGCCACGCTGGTTAGTGTTCTTTGACCCTTTTTGACAGGATGTGCGTCTAACGACCGATGTACCTTGCTCCACAGCAACAGGTGAACTGACATATACACATAGAAATTGTCGGGTGCGAGATCTTGTCATCCGGGCTTCTGCAGATCAGTGGGTGACTGGAGAATACTACTCTCAATGTTGCCGCAGTGAAAGTTATTCTTTAAGAGATGCAAATTCTCCTTCTGAGGACGTCAGTAAGTAGGTTCATGTAAAGTATCTTTTTTGCCATGGATAGTGTCTCTTGCTCTTGGATTTTTTGTTTGATGTTTTTGTCTACGAATCTTTATGGGTAGCCGTTTTGTATAATAGTAAATAGTGTGAAATATATTTACCATGATAAAGCAAGATTAACAACGTTTTCTTTTTGATGGATTAAAAATGCCCTTTAAAAATTCCTTTTTTCAAAGGAATGCTTACTGAACAAAGGACATTTTTTTCAATAACCTACTCTTCATGAGGTTAACGGTTTTATATACATGCTTAATAGTGAGTGAATTAGTGTTATTAACAACATTAATCTTCTTCAAATAGCATCGAACCAAGAATATCAATAGATTTCAGTTCAACCACATCAACATAACAATATACTGAATATCAGAACAGCAAATTAGGAAAGATAATAAGACGAATTCATGAATTCATAGTATCCAACGAAGGCGGGTCAAGGCAGTAGTAGTGACTGGCTGGAGTTGTTTCTTCTGCACACACGGAGTACTCTTTCTTGCAGCTGAGCAGTGATAGCCTCATCCGTTTGGAGTATGCGGTACCTAGATATTTTTGAAAATTTATTTAGTAAGATTCTTCAAAGCTAACTGGCCCTGTGGCCATTTTGGATAAGGTGGTCTGATATCGAACTGTTGATGTTTCTCACTACACCCTAACTAAACCACACTGGTAGGTTTTCCCGAAAGAGAACGAAAAATCAAGTTCCTACAGCCATGGTCAATAGAACTCGCTTCAACACAAGCACAATTGAATTGGTAGATACAATTTGAAGTGCCTAGTTTAGTCTAGGTACTTCATCGTTCAATCGAGGAATCACCATCGGTCATGTAGAAAATAGGACTTGTTGTTTTACGGCCTTCAAAGTTATTTGAGTAGATTTTCCAACCATGTTAGAAATTATTATTTCACTAGGTGCGTCACATTTGAATTGCAGCCATATATATATATATATATAAATATATATATATATAATATATATATATATATATATATATATATAATATATATATATATTTATATAAAAGCTCCGTATTTACAGATGGAGAATAGTCCTTTACCATCTTCATTAGTCATGTGTTTCTTGATGAATTTTTCTAGATAGCTATTTTCAATCACAGTCTCATTTACAATCGTCAGCTAATCTCTGTTTACCTCTTCTGAGGATATAACTCTAACCCAAAGTGGCAGAGCAACGAAGCTTTGAAAATGTGTATGTTATCGTGTCCATATGACTTTTCTATGCATATTTCTCTTTATACTACCATCTGGTTTTGGTGTAAGTAGAACATCCATGAAGGTAATTTAATCTTATTTTAGGATTCCTCTTTGCACTTGAATTTCATACCGGACAATGTACAACATTGAATTGCATTATTATTGTGTTCCTGTGCAAATATTTTTGGATATATATATAACTTTGCGTCTAATTCTTTAATGACTATCATTTCAATGATACACAGCATTCTGTAACTGTCTTGAACTTTAATTAATTTGAAGTATCTTAATGCATCTATTTAATGATATTTGTCTAACAGGTGGCGAGCATTTGTAGTACTAAGCAATTCTGCATTTGTTAGACACAAATTTGTTGGAATACAGTCAGAAATGCAGTTTCAAATTCGTTTTCCGTTTCCGTCCAATGTGTGCATTTCCACATATGTATGTAAGTTGGTTTATATACAAACACAGGTAACATATAAAAGCGGGAACGAACAGACTTAGATTATCATGGCGAACGATTTATTTACCATATTATGATGCCTGTTAAATGAAATTATTTGATTATTGAATTGCACAAGAGGTGGCTCTCGTGGCCCAAGTGGTCTAGTGGATAACCCTTTGGCGTTCGAAACTATGGGTACTGGGTTCGAGCCTCTGTGGGAACATCATCACTCACTGAGTCACCATCCACCAATTGTATCCTGAAATTATTTGACGCTTACATTGATGAATTTAGACCTCTATTCAGTTTGGAATATTCCTACACATCTTTAGACCTTTCTTGGTCATTCCTATGCATAATTGCCAGCTTAACACACCACTAGTCCTCACCTAACCGACAGGAAGCTCGATAAAGAGAAGAAGGTTGGGCATGAGTCTATCAACGCTATCCAATAAAAAAAATCAGCATTGCGCTAGTGAATCCCCAAATTTTTAACCCAAAGCCTCATGTTTCACTCAGAATGTAAACAAAATGACAAAAATGATGTATTATAAAAGTTACTACACAGAATAAAGATAGTGATGTTGACAGAAAAATAGTCAGTAAATTGATATAACACACGGAATATAACAAGTGCATTCATTATGAAGATACCAATGGTTTTTCTAGTTACGGGTAACAGAATCCAGGTCCAGTTATTACTTGAGCAGGCCATCCTCTCCTACACGGAAAGAAAGGAACAAAACAGGACAATGCAATAAGAACACGTAATTTGTCTGAATCGTGTATTGTTGTATTTGCACAACACATTTCGAACAATCTGATCACACACGGACTTGTCATAGGAATATATGCATGAAATTAATAAAGAGGTAAGAGGTGAGAAAATAGACTTAGGTCAAGTTAAAAGGACGTATTCAAGGTCAAAATAACAATGAAGACCACTAAACCAAATAGCAGAGGTAATAGTACATCTGTTATCGTATCAAAACAAAATTTACGAAGGAAGGTTTAATGTGATGAGGAATTGTTTTGAACGCATAATTTTGGTTTAAACTTTCTAATTGCCAGCTAGGGCTTCCACAAACTTTAGGACACGCCCCAAACACGTTTTATATATAGGTTTAAAACATCTGTTAACGTCAGTTTTATGACCTGTCTCTCTAATATGTTTCGCAATAGAGGCGTTAGGTCTCATGTTCTCACCGTTAATGGGTTCTGAAGATTCCATTTGTTTTTGGTGCCTGTTAGGAACATGCTCTGAAGCCCTGAGTTTCAGAGATCAATGAGTCCTCCCTATGTATGTGTGTCCGCAAGTACACTGAAATTGGTGAATACAGTAGAATGTGACGTCATTTTTCGCATGTTCGAAGGGCTTAGATAGATATACTGGCTTTACACTCTTTATTATTATGATATTAGCTGCATAAAAAATCTCTTTAACAGCAGCGCGCAATCTCCCTCTAGTTATCAAGCTACTTTGATGCCCCATATGGGTAGCTAGATGTACACATCTTTCTTAAGGGCAAGTTGTAGAATTGGTCTTAGTGTTGAGACTCCTATAAATCTCCTGATGAACTTGCCTGGATAATTGTTATCAACCAAAGTCTGTGTCAACTTTCTTTCTTCTTCATCAAGTGTGTCTTCATTACAGATTAGTTGGATTCTACTGAAGAGGCACTTTACTAAGACAAGGGAGGTGGTTGCTTGTTGGCTTGATAATCTTAACTGCCATCAGCGCCAACTTTCCTCTATTCCCTAGTGTGGTAGTTCAGTGTTCAGACATAATCCTCATCCAGACATTAATAAAAAACAACCAAAGGGCTTTTTCAGCTAATTCACTTTCCTCTTTAGCTTTACAGTCGGATTTATACACACGTTTTTAATCAAAAAAGAGACGATACATGAGCCTTGATTTCAAGAGATGCCTGTACTACAATATTCACAGGATAAGAACTTCATCGTCTTCGGTAAGAATATTTTTCCCAGCAACGATAAGCGTAGTGTTCTCCAATTATCTGCCGGTTGAGAGAAGGCTGAAAGATCTAAACTTGCATTTAATCAATTCTCTCTGCTCATATCAGCTCACTTGTCCTTATGGAGGCAGGTATTCCAATCGTTCGATGCATATCCTTTCTGATAGGGTTGAAGAACATTATCCCACATTGTTTCGATAAGGTAGTATCAGATAATTGAACATCTTGTCTACACTGGTCATTCTATCTCTCAGCAAACCTTTCCTTCACAGTAATCGATAAAATGAAGAACAACCTATTAAAGACAATATGCTTTCAGATTTTTTCACAGTGTTAAAGCTGTAGATATTCAGAGAGATGACACGAAGCTGTACGTAAAAAAAACCATTCAGGTACTTCTTGTAGCACACAATAAGCTCCACTAACATATATAAATTAGGAAAAGGTGTTCTAATGACACGATATTCCTAATTGTGGTGGACTGGATTATGCGTCAGATAGTGAGTGGGAAACGAGAAGACAGGGATATTCTGGACCGACGTGAAGAATCTAGAAGACCTGGATTTCGCGCGTGGATGATTTATGTTTGATGTCACACAAAATCGAAGACTTACAAGCGAAAACCGATAAAGTGGTTGAAGAAGCAGCCGGCGAAGACAGGACTCCAGGTGAACATAGACAAGACAGAGGTTATGAAAATAACCAACCAACCAACAACAACAACAACAGCGGCGACATCCGGGGACAACCACCATCAACGAGAGGGATTTGAAAGAGGTCACTTCATTCAGTTATCTAGGGAGCATTGTCTCAAATACAGGAGGAACGGACGAGGATGTCAAATCGAGAATTGGGTGGGGCGAGAAACACATTCATCAACCTGAAACCAATCTGGAAATCTTAGTCACTCAGCCAGCATCAACAACAAGATTCAGTCGGATTTTTAATACAATGTCAAGTCAGTTCTGCTATACGAATCAGAAACTTGGCGGGTCACAAAGGATATTTCTAACAGGCCATTGCAGACCTTCATCAACAACAACTGTCTTCGCTGGCTCTATACTGAAGATCAGATGGCCGGGCCGGAAAGAATCACCACCAACAAGAAACTATGGGAACAAACAAACAAAACAAGAACCAATCGCTCAACAAATATGCATGAGAAAGTGGAGATGGATTGGACACACGCCGAGGAGGCCGCTGAGTGATATCGTGCGTCAGGCCAGTGCTCGAGTGGAACCCAAAAAGGGAAGCGGCGAGTTGGACGTCAGTGCAAGGATGACATGGAGGAGATCGTGTTAAGAGGAGTTGAAACAGTATGGAATAACATGGATGCAGTTGAAAAGCACCGCGGAAGACAGAAGCAAGTGGAGACGTGCAGTTGAAGCCCCATGTTCCACTAGGAACCCAAGGGAACAATAATAATAATAACTAATGTACTGAATGACCTCAATATGTATCATTATGGCAACCTCTCACTGTTTTATAATCATGGTTTTACGAATCATCATCGAACTAAACTTAGAATGACGGTCAACCACTAATCTCTACCTAGATTTCTCTTTTCACTTTCAAAAAGGCCTTCAACGGCGTTGACCTAAGAGTAATCTGAAAACTGTTTCAACACTGCGATGGGCATTGCCACGTTTTTATCAGCCTCATTCAATAGCTGTCTGTACGATGGTGGAACGTGTCAGGCGATCCACGATGGGAAACCCATCTAGGCATCCTTAGTGAATATAGAAGTAAGACAAGGCTGACTGCCTATTATCACCGATGATATTTTTAATTGTTGTGGACTGGATTATGTGTCGGGCTCTGCTTGAGGATGAGAAGACTAGAATACTCTGCTCTGACTGATAATAAGACTCTAGAAGACCTGGATTTCGCGTGTAGATGAATTAGGTTTAATGACATGAAAACTGGAAGAGTTGCAGCTTAAAACCAAGAAAATGGTTGAAACAGCAGACAGCGAAGACAGATCCTCACTCCAGGTGAACATAGAAAAGATAATCAATCAACCAACCAACGGCAGCAGCAACAACAAACAACACAAATCACCACCGGCGGAATCGCTTTGATAAAGGTTACTTCCTTCACATTTCTAGGCAGCCACTGTCGAATCAAACACAGGCAGACGGCAAGGATGAACATGTCAATACCCAGCCATCCAGGATCTGAAATACAAAATAAGCTTTCATCAACCTGACACCTATTGGAAAGTATTTCCAACAAGTCAACTCAACTTCTACCACTAGCTGCCACCTTGACTGACTCATACTCAAGATCAAATCGTCAGCCACCTGGTCAGAAAGAATTGGCAATAATAAACTATGCAGTGGAATAGGCCAGCAGGCGAGAGCCGATGGCTCAGCAAGTATATGAGAGAACATGGAGACAGATTGGTGGAGCATACGTTGATGAGACCGTCGAATGAAATAGCGCACATTGCAGGCCATCCCTCGACTGGTTCGTTGATACGAGGGCGACATGGAGGAGGTCGTGGAGCGAAAATTATTAGATGAGGGATTATGGGCAAAGAATAGAATACAGTGGATATGTGTCATTGAAGCCATTTGTTCTACTCGGAACTCAATTGAATAATACTAATATGGTACAGAAACGCTTTTCTCATATGGAGCCTCTTCTCTGAACATGAAGGTTTGCTGTAACTAAGTGTATTATGGTGTTCAAAATTAATTAATTAATGTTCTGTAGAGAAAGTAAATTTTTTATTTGGAACTCAGTTTTATCACATTAATAACTCATTGTAAGAAGAAGTGAAACAATTGCCGATTGAACGATATTCACATAGTTATACAGACTTTTAATCGACATCATCCCCAGTGACGATGTTTTGAGGCGACTAACCGAAATCTCCCTTCTATAATAAATTACCTTCCAATATTTGACAAGTAGTAGGTTCAGTGATTTAAATCAGTTCCGATACTTCCTTCCATTGATTGGAACTGAGGGCTTTGTCTCAGATTGACATATCAGTTCCTAGGGTAAATGCTTCGATGATATCTGGTCACATATCTTGAAGTTAACTGGTGGATGGTGACTAGCAGTGTTATCCAGGATGAGCGTATCGTCCTATTTGGGACTCGTTATCTGGAAGCACCTGCTAGTCACTGTCCACCAATGGACTTCAAGTTATAGGACCAGACATTGTTGAAGCATCTGCACAAGAGGCAGTGGCTCTCGTGGCCAATAAGGTCTAGTGGGTAACGCTTTGGCGTTTGAAAGTACAGGCACTGGATTCGAGCCTCATGGTAACATCACCACCATTGGGGAATGCAGGTACGTCCGGCTGACAAGTCAGTCCTAAGTAGGAAGGAGAAATGCGCATCCTGGATTCCACTGCTAGAAACCATCAGTCAATTGATTTCAGTGGTCTGTTACATAAATCTGATCTTATGATCTGCCGCTGAGCAAAAATGTACTAAACATGTCACATTATTCACATTATGATACAACTACTACTTCTAAGCATTAGTACAGTGAACAATCTCAACCGCATAACTTACTTCAGCATTTGACATCGAAGCTGATGTAGACGTTGAGCGAATTCATCTGTTTCAGATTGTTCTTGAGACCATAAACGTTCGGCAACAGCTGCAGCTAATGGCCTATGAAACATATAGTAAGATTAAAGAAAGGTCAGTTTTGTACTCCTGTGGAGATCCATTAGTCTAAGAGCACCATGATATGGAATAAAAAATAATCGAAGATTTCTTCATTTACACGTAACGTAACTAATCCTTCATTACTTATACAGCTGACAAACTGGATAACTATGGATAGAAGAAGAGATATCAAAATCACTTCTGAGATTCTCCAGCAAATCAACTACCCAAAGAACTTCATCAACAAACTCAACACTGACATTAAGTATGGTCAAATATGTATTCCAAAAACATGGACCTCATCAGGTGTCATTGCATATAGAGCAGAGACGTCAGACGATATCAGAAGAGTACTCAATAAGCTCAAAACGTTAGACACACTGCAAAGCAACCTTTTCTAAACAAAAGACTAAATCTAATTGAATTTTTGATTTTCCGTCGATCGATTGGACCGAAGTGCTCGGTCTCAGGTGGACATGTCGGCTTCTTGTGCAGATGCTTCGACGATGTCTGGGTATTTAATTAGTATTTAATTGGTGGATGGTGACTAGCAGTGGAATCCGGAATGCGCATTTCGTCATATATGTGACTCGTTATCTGGATGTACCTGCATTTCTCAGTGAGTGATGATGTTCCCAACGAGACCCAGACATCGTCGAAGCATCTGCACAAGAAGCCGACATGTCGACCTGAGGCCAAGCACTTCGGTTCAATTGACCGACAGGAAAATAAAAATTAGATTAAATTAATATGACCCGTTGCACAAGAGGTGGCTCTCGTGGCCCAAGTGGTCTAGTGGATAACGCTTTGGCGTTTGAAACTATGAGCACTGGTTTCGAGCCTTGGTGGGAACATCATCACTCACTGAGAAGTGCAGGTACATCCGGATAACGAGTCCCATATATGACGAAATGCTGATCCTGGATTCCACTGCTAGTCACCATCCACCAATTAAAAGACTAAATCCCTTAGTATTCTCTATCTAATTGTGTCTATAGAATCGAATGCTTGGAATGTGATTCGATGTACATCGGACAAACATCGCTAGAGGGAAATCAAAATCAAAAGAAATAAATACCGTAGGGCCTCTGTTCGACCACCGACAAATCCAGTTAGTGAACTAGAAAAGCTTGGATAATCATCAGCCATAGGCCGTAGAATCAGGTCACAAAATTCATTTTGACAGTATGGAAATCATCATCCAGAAAATTTCAGAAGTCACAGAGAACGTCTCATTTCATCAGAAGCACTTCATATCAAATGCAATCCAAATTGTCTGAACTGAATAGGAATGAGAGACGAAAACAGAATTTGACCTGGTTGTGACAACCTTTCCCCTTCCAATGAAATAAAAAAATCAACACGAATGAAAAATTCCCATTCTAACATTAATAGACAGAAGACCATTAGTTCAGCGAAGAATCTCCGTTTTCGGCGAATTCATTTTCATAGCTGTACAATCTGTTTGTCTGTCTGTTTTCGACATAGAACTTTGCACATATGTGCGGCAGTTCAAGTCGCCACACTCCCTCCTTGTAGCACACAAAGCAGTAGAAGAAAGTACAAGAAAAGCATAATAGAGACAGTAAGCCGAGGTGTGAGACAAAGGAGGGTAATAACGAAGAACAAAACCGTTTCATTGGAAATCATAAGTCACAAGGAGTGGATGCATCTGCGCCACTGAGAACGATTTTGAGCCATGTCACCAATTGTTTCCAACCATTTGTTTTTACCGTCCCGAGGACCCCAGCCTGGAAGTCTACACCTTCCTACGTGGCTTAGACTAACTGTTGTAGATTTCATTGACTGGTGCCAAGTTTTTGTTTGGCCGCCGCTAGCTTTCTTCCAGCCTGACCCTATATCCGCTAACATTGCACGTCAGTCGAGGAAGGCGATGACTAGGCATACATAGCACATGTCCTAACCACCTCAGTCTTTGTAACTTCACAACTTCGTCGATTGATTTCCCCTGTTTACCTAGAACTCGATGCCTAACTTCAATATTGCTCACCTTAATATTCCACTTTACACAGGAGATAAAACGCAGGCACCTGTGATCAAAGACAGCTAATCTTTTCATGTACAATCGCAAATATATATGGCTGTTTTGTGTGTGTGTGTACATTAAATTTGTCAAACTTAAATACAATTAGTAAGTTCAGATAGATTGGATATTGATATACGCGGGTAGTAACAAAAGTGATGAGTTGTTACAAACGATCGCTAAATAAGAGTTGCGTAATAATGTAAATAGTTTGATGAAAGAATTGTGCTCAGGGTGTACATGGAAACAAAATAACGTACAGAATTATGCCATAGTTTTCAGTAGCTAGAAAAATAAGCATACAAACAAGAGTTAAGTCAAATCAAGCAAACAAACAAAAGTCAAATCAACGGAGTTGTTACCATGAGAGTAGAAGCGGCTGAAAAATTTTCTTTTGAATGCATACTTCTGGTTCTTCCAACTGAATGGCTAGGACATCTGCAGTGCAAAGGAAACGAGAACGTATTGTCTTTGGCAGGTTTTTCTTCAGTTTGTATATTACTTAGAAGGGGGAGGTGTTGGTTGAGATGGAATGACTATTGTTGACGGGATGTTCAATTATTGCACTCCTTATACGGCCAATGCTTCCTTTCTGCAGACACGCTGGTTAGTAATCTTCGACCCTTTTTGTCAAGATACGACCGATGTAGCTGGCTCCACAGAAACAGGTGAACTGATATATGCACAGAGAAGTTTTTAGATGCGGGATCTTTTCTTTTCGGCTTCTGCAGATTAGCGGGTGACTGGAGAACACTACTCTCAGTGTTGGCGCAAAGAAAGTTCGTGCTTAAGAAGCGGAAATTCTCCTCCTAAAGACATCACTGAACAGGTCACCTTTAAAGTCAAGGTTCATAAAAAGTATCTTTTTTTGGCACGGATGGATTCACTTTTTGATGTTTTTGTCTACGAATCTTGGTGGATAACCGTTTTGTAGAGAGATATATTTCAGGAAGTGTGGTTCTTCTTCCAGGGTATCAGAGCGGCAGATGAGTCAGACACGACTAGCAATTTCATTATGTAAACACGCGGTGCCTCTATCATTTTATACACTTATCAAATCGAACAGTCTATACCCGGTTTTGTTTTGTTTAGCAATTGGCTAATTCGACAACACAAAAATGATCCCATGCTGGGAAACGGCGATTAATTTGTTATATATAAGCTGAGTGGATTTTGTTAATTCTGGTAATAATAACACCGATTTTATAAATATTATAGCAGCTGAATTAAATAGCGAAACGTCAGTATAAACAACAATATCATTTTGTTTTCCCTTCTATTCACTGGGAAATACAAAAAACCTTTATTATAATGAATATCATTTTTTTCAAACTGTTAAAAGTTATGTTGGTTTTGGCATATATATAACTATGGATAAATGTTTAGTGAATGTATTTTTCTCCAAGCATTTTCCTCTGGTTTAGACAATAGTCAATTGTAGAACCCTTCAGTTCACATTGACATAATAAACTCAGATGGTTATGTTTAATTTTCACTAGATATTAATAAAGAAGTTGATATACATGATTCCGTTGACAGAAATCAAATACTGTCTTCAGAATGGGATATACTGCAACTCTGGAATTATTATCATCTTCGAGAAAGTGGAACACAAAATCCATCAATGACCTCAACATTGCAAAATTGGTTACATCATATAACTTATTTTTTGATTTGAGAAATCTAAAAGTTCACTTCAAACTGAGGTATGCGCTGAAAGGTGTCGCCTAGTAGCTTCGCAAATAAACTACCCAGCTCACAGTACACAATTCCATTGAAAATTATACAAGCATGTTTACATAAATGTTTGAAGAAAATTGCACCGAAGGGGGGGATAGCTCTATGAACTTTAGTGTGATGGGGGAGAAAATCGACTAACAACAATTAATCAAATTTTGATAAGTGCAGGTGATACACAGCATTCAGTATTCTGTAAACATGTCTAGGACGTGTATGAACCATACAACAGATACAGCGGCAATAATATTCAAACTCAGCTCTTTGATCCTCTCACCTAATTATATCATTAGGTTTATTTATTATTATGTCTTTAGTTCAGAGGAATAGGGCTTCAGCTGCGCACCTCCATTGCTCGGTTTTTGACAACTTTTCACCCTCAGGTATGCCATGCTTTCATCCTCTCGCATGATCCAAGTCACCTTGGACGACCACTCGCCGCCTCCTTTGGGTTCACTCGAGGGCTTGTCTAGTGATGTCACTTGATGGTTTCCTCAGCGTATGGCCAATCATCTCCACTTCTTCCTGCTATTTGTTTCACAATCGGTTCCTGATTGGTTCGCTCCCAGAGATCCTGTTGTGATCTTTCTGGCCATTGATCTTGAGTATTGAGCGGAGACAGCTGTTATGAAGGTCTGTAGCTTGTTTGAGAGGCTCTTTTGACTCCCAAGTCAATATTAATTAATTACCTTTGTTAAGGAGTATATCCACTATTATTGTTTGTTGACTTCTGCTGACCAGGGATCCCTTAACATCCACAAAATGTGCCTGGAAAAGTAGATGTGTGATAAGGCTCATTGTCAAGCCTTGGTTAACAGAAATTTGATTGGTTATAAGTGTGACCATGAGCTGAAATGAGGTAGAGAACCACTGGAAAACTGTTGAATGACACTGAAGAGCTGTTCTGCCCTTATTTCCGATGCACACTTTAAGGTTCGAACGCAGTACTTTGCAGTCATAAGGAAAGCTTGTAGACAGTTCAGCCAGTGACATCTGGTCAGGTCTTGGTGTTGAGCAAAAGAATTTTCTGTCTAGTCGATTCACGTTTTCCAGCCAATATTAGCAACAATAACAACAACAACAACGCAATACGATACCAGTGAAAACGCGACGCAAGAAAGCAAGACAAGAAGACTGACTTTTGATGTGGAGGGCTCCTACTATTGTCTCGTATCAACAACAAAAGTGATTGATAGCACTTCTGTAAATATGCTTTTATTGACCTTGAGAGGCATCAATTACATTGATAAATTAAAATATTCAACATGCGATAGGATTTCAAAAGTTATAAGTGGGGTGTGAGAAGTACAGATGGACAGGTAAAAGGACATATAGAAAATTTGGTCTCTATATATATATGTCACATATACTCTCCAATCACGCATGTGGTCAAGGGTTCGGTCCCCGCATGAAGCACGCATTTACCTCTCTAAACCACTAATTAGACTGGTCAAGAGGGAAGGTTGGGCATGAGGCTAAAAAATCCATCTCGTAAACGAATAAATACCACTGCTACCAAAACTTCAAGCTTCTAGTTTGAAGTCCACTGTTCCACTGGAACGTAGAGGAATTAAAAAAATCATATATACCGCGGGACCGTCATCCAGTATCATATATAGGTAACTGTTTTACTGCCCGACTTGGTGAACCTCAGAGGTGACAGTTTCTCACTGAAACTCCATTCGGCTTTCTGTAAATAGCTGGTTGCTACAGAACATCCGATTAATTATCTGGTATGGTTTCGATCATAAATTGGTATCAGCTGGGGAATGTTTATCTTCTTTACTTCTTTATTCAAAGAGGAATTTTGCGCTTCATTCTATGAATTTTCATTAGCTTGGTACTTTACATCATAGTCAATATAGATGTTTATCCACAAGCATTCTTTCAAAATGTTTTACTAGAAACGCGATGCATACTTCCATCTAAGCAGGTGTTAACTTGTCGGAAACGGTTTTCTTCGGGCACTATCATACGACATGTTGAACGGTATTCACACACAACTGACCCTTATATAACAAATATTTGTATGATGATGTATTATATAGACTTACCATGTTTCAGTGAATAGGTTGGCATCATCAATGTATTGACCCCACAACAGAGCTTCTCCTCCGATTATTAAGCTTAACTGTTCATCTGTAGCTGAATTGAAACGATATTTGCAAATCAAGATATCTAAAGAGGTCAGATTAATCCATTATATATTCTCAGAAATTAATTTTCATGCCTTAAAATTACATAATAAAATTACTCAGGAAAGGCATGTTCAAGTCAATTTTCGATTTTTGCGTTTATCTGTTTAAACCAAAATGTATGACCTCTTAGATAATTGGAGGCAATTGGCTACAGGAAGCCTTGCCCTTGAATGGGTTTCGCGCTAGTTGGCACTCACAAATCAGCAAGGCGTATCTGCAACCTACTTGAGGAAATTCTTGTTTCCTCTGAGATTCGAACCCGTGTCACACAGTGATGCAGTCAGAGACGTTACCACTGAGCTATTTGGGCTCACGATTGACCTCCAGTGGAACTGTAATGGATACTTTGATTGGACACTAGTAAGTGGTGTGATATGTGCGCGGACTAGACACATCACACTAGTTACTGGCGTCCAATCAAAATGTTTGACCTCTGTTTACGAGTTGGCTACTGGTAGAAACTCGTCAATGATATCTGACGATCGCATTTGACTAACAGTGAAGTCCAGGATGTGCATTCCGTCCAATTCTAAACTCGTTAACTGGATGAATACCGAGGATCATCATTCAGGTAGCTCGACACTTAAGTTTTCTATCCTTTTGTGTGTCAATTTGTGTTAGTTCATTGAAGCCGCAAAGTAGCATGTATATTAATTGGATTTTATGAAATATGCGGACGATTTAATCGTGTCATTGTCTGTTAGATTTCAGTTTGACTGTACTAAGACGAACAGCTTTCTATCAGGAATTAGCAAATGGTCTTTGTCTAATGGCCTTCAACTAAATCCTTCCAAATGTCACACTGTTGATTTCAGTTTCCGATGTAAAAGAGAGTTAAATGAAACCGTTAATTCCTATGACGTTAAGTATCTTGGACTAATATCAGTAAAAAGTTTGAACATTGTGGATTAGATCAAATAAAGTATAATTATATTTCAATAGTTTACACACAATGATAAGTTTTGATCTGTCCTGGTCTTTTTAAATCTTAGCGATTTCTATAAAAATATTTCGTCTGACTTTTTTCATTAAGACGTTAAAGCACTCAGGCATAACCCAACCACTCCTCTTACAGTTTGCCAACTCGTACATCTTACCTATTCTTCATTACTTTCCACCCTTATTCTTTCCTGGATTGCTTAGAAAAGACTATGTTATATTTCATAGGACTCTGAAGACTGCCATTACGGCGGGTAGTAGTGTCCCATTGCCCCACATTATTGACATCGTCATTATTGATAGGCACTTGACTTCATGCAACAAATTTGCTGTAGGAATTTCGTCAGAATGTGAGCACCCACTCTACCCGCAGCTCCAACCTTCTGTCTCCTTAGGTAAAATAAGAAACCTTTTCAGAAGACATTATGCACGTACGTCTAAGTATAAAAGTTCCACCATACCATATTTGACGGCACGTACTTTATGTGATGAAAATAGTGTTAGGCATGGACTAACTAACTAACCTTCTTTGCACTATTAAATAAACCAGTTCCTCCGACCTTACAACATCGAACTTTATTGTTACTGTATTTCTTATAATTATATAATCCTCTCTATTTGTTGGTGTTTATTTTCTCCCCGAGTTTAAACATCATTTAAGCTGTGTCATAACTGTTAATTTTTGTTATAAACCTCACCAAACTATACTAACAGAGCATTAGATCCAGTTTCCTCTAACACGCTGAAATTCTCAAACTGTATCAACAGTACTGCTTGAAACAAACTCATTGTTATTATTTATTTATTATTATTGTATCCTTTAGTTCCTAGAGGAACATAGGGCTTCAGCTGCGCACCTCCATTGACTTCGGTTTTTTGACAACTTTTTCACCCTGCTCCAGGTCTGCCCACATGCTTTCATCTCCTCTTCACATGACCTCCTCCAAGTCACCCTTGGACGACCAACTCGCCGCCTCCCTTTCGGGTTCCACTCGAGGGCTTGTCTAGTGATGTCACTTGATGGTTTCCTCAGCGTATGGCCAATCCATCTCCATTTCTTTCTGCCTATTTGTTTCACAATCGGTTCCTGATTGGTTCGCTCCCAGAGATCCCTGTTGCTGATCTTTTCTGGCCATCTGATCTTGAGTATTGAGCGGAGACAGTTGTTAATGAAGGTTTGAAGTTTGTTTGAGATGCTCTTTATGACTCGCCAAGTCTCTGATCCGTATAGTAGCACTGACTTCACATTGGAGTTGAAAATCCGGATCTTATTTTTGATGCTGAATGCTGTTGACCTCCACACAGATTTGAGAGTAATGAAAGCTTGTCTTGCTTTTCCGATTCTGGCTTTGATGTCCTCGTCAGTTCCGCCTGTAGTTGAGACGATGCTTCCCAGGTAGGTGAAGGAGGTTGTTTCTTTCAGGTTCTTCCCATTTATGCTTATTGTGGTCTGTTGTTGCTGTTGATGTTGGCTAGGAATCTTCATCATCTCTGTTTTATCTATGTTCACGTGAAGTCCTATCTTTGATGCTTCTTCTGCCAACTTGTTACTTTTCATTTGCATATCTTCCAGTTTATGGGAAATCAGACATATATCATCGGCGAAATCCAGATCCTCCAAGTCTTTTGTGTCAGTCCATTTTATGCCTGTTCCCTCGTTGGTTGCCGTTGTCTGTCGCATTATCCAATCAATTGCAATCAGGAAGATCATTGGTGATAGTAGACAGCCTTGCCTCACTCCCGTCCTCACTTCGAAGGCTTCCGTAAGTTTCCCGTTGTGGATTACTTGGCATGCAGCATTGTCGTATAACTGTTGGATGAGGTGTATAATTGTCGATGGGACCCCGTAGTAGCGAAGTAGTTTCCAAATGACCTCTCGATCGACGCTGTCGAAGGCCTTTTCAAAGTCGATGAAGTTGAGATAGAGAGGTGACTGCCATTCCAAGCTTTGTTCAATGATGATCCGTAGAGTGGCGATTTGATCAATACATGATTTGTTTCTCCTGAATCCAGCCTGTTCCGGACGAAGTTTTTCATCTAGGGCTTGTTTGATTCTCTCCAGGATGATGCGACTTAGTATCTTGCTTGGAATGGACAGAAGCATAATTCCACGCCAGTTTTTACATTGACTTAAGTCTCCTTTCTTTGGAAGTTTGAATAAGTAACTGTTCTTCCAATCCTCGGGTACTTTGCCCTCTTTCCACACCTTCTCCAGTAGTGGTGTCATCAAGTCCGCTGTTGTCTCTGGGTCTATTTTCAAAGCCTCTGCTGGGATTCCATCTGGTCCCGGTGTTTTCCCAGTTTTAAGCATCTTGATTGCATTCAGGACTTCTGATTTCGTCGGGGGGTCAGTGTTCACTGGTAGTTCTGCTTCCGTTGTTGGTATTGCTGGACGTGTTGTAGGTGGCGGACGATTTAGAAGTCTTTTGAAGTGTTCAACCCAGTGCTTTCTCTGTTCCACCTCTTTGGTGATTGACTTTCCATTGTCGTCCTTTATTGGCTTAATCTGTGTCGAACGTTTGCCCGAAAGGTTCCTAGTTGTTTGGTAGAGTGTGGCGAGGTCTCCTTTGCCTGCAGCTTGTTCTGCTTCGTTTGCCATGGTTTCATAATATTTTCTTTTGTCTTCCCTGGCACTTTTCTTCACTCTTTTGTTCAGTGTATTGTAGCTTGCATTCAGCTCCTGTTTTTGTTGCTCGTCGTAGCACTGGATAATCTTTTGCTTCACTGTCCTTCTCTCTTCTATTAGTTTCCAAGTGTCCGTAGTGAGCCACTGTTTGTCCTGTCTCTTTTTTCTGCCTAGAATTTCTATGCAGGTTTGGCTCCACACCGTTTTCAAGTTGTTCCAGTGCTTTTCAACGCCGACCTCTTCGCTAGTGTTGATTTGTGTCTCGGCTTTGTCCTTTATGCTTGCAATGAAGATGTCCTTTGTAGCCTGGTCCTTCAGCTTTTGAGTGTTGAACTTGGCTTGTGGTCTATCTGCAGCTCCTCCTTCTTTGAAAGCTTTTAATTTGATTTGGATTGTCCCTTGTACGAGATAGTGGTCTGAGCCAACGTCTGCTCCTCTTCTTGCTTTTGTGTCCAGTAGGCTGCGCCTCCACTTCCTTGAGATTGAGATGAAGTCGATTTGGTTTTTGGTTTGCCCGTCTGGTGACACCCATGTAGCCTTGTGGATATCTTTGTGCTTGTATACACTGCCACCAATCACCAGTTCGTTGAAGGCGCAGAAGTCGGCGAAGAGTTCTCCGTTTTCATTCATTTCTCCTAGAGCTTCTCTACCCATGATGAGTTCCCTTCCCGTATTGTCTGGTCCCAGTTTGGCGTTCATGTCTCCCATTAGTATTTTCATGTCGCCAGCTGGAGTATTGTCCATTGTTGCCTGTAGTTGCCTGTAGAATTCTTCTTTCTTCTCGAGGTCTGCGTTGTTTGTGGGTGCATAACATTGTATGATTGACACTTTCCTTCCTTTGGAGTTGAACCTGGCGGTCATTATCCTGGACGAAATCGCCTCCCATTGTATCAGGGCTTTCGTTGCCGTTGGTGACATCATGATAGCCACGCCCTCGGTGTGCGTGTGGTTATCTTCTGGGTGACCGGAGTAGATCACTGACTCACCTGTTGACAATTTGGTGAGTCCACTCCCATTCCATCTGCTCTCACATATTCCCAGCACTTGTATTCCGTATCTTTTCATCTCGTTGGCGATCTGGGCAGCTTTTCCAGTCTCGTACATAGTTCGGACGTTCCATGTTCCTACACAGACTTTTTCTTTTGGTGCAAGGAGGTTCATATTGCTGAAGGTTCTGTAGCAATTTTGTTTACAGGGTGGGGTTGCTAGCCTCACGCCTGAGAAAAGAATGATTACATTAAGTAAAAGTTTAGAGAGAAGCAACTTTTTGGGTTGCTCCCCTCAAAATCAGAAAATAACGGACAAACAATGAGAACAACATCAACAAAGGAAACAGTTCACAGAAAAAAGGGCAAAAAGCGACGACAACTATACAATAAGACAACATGCAATATAGTTCAGTACAGTTAACTAAAATGATATCTTAACCATAAACTCACTGACTTGGAGCAACTTGAACATATAAATCCAACAATATATACAATTATAGATGTGTTTATGTTTAAAAATTCCACAAATCCAAACAGTGAGTTATGTGTATTATCTGTCAATAAGATTGTATTTTTTGGATTCAGTGTTCGAAAGGTTAATAATTGTGATAATTTCCGCAAACACTTTGCATAAAATTTTAGAGTAATAAGAGATTTTATTTATGACCAAAATGTAGCGTAATAGTCGAAAAGCGCGCTCAAGGTTGGTTGGTTAAGTAAAGGACAAACCAAATCCATTCACAGCGCTATTCTATCTCATCTTGTGGATACAACAGAATACAAGATTAATGTCAACGAGGCAGTTTTCAAAGTCATTAACCGCATACCAACAAATCTCGATTTGCACTTGTCACTTCAATGAGGCATAAAACACTTATAACAAAGGAAGATGTTATGAATAAGTTCATCAATAAATAGGTCAGTCAGTCAGTTAGTCAGTCAATCAGTCAGCCTGTCATTCTCATTTTGTACTTTGAATATCTTTGACTTTATACCGTAAATTTAGACAAATTCCTCTGGTTAATTTTGTTTTAATTATATATATATATATATATATATATATATATATATATATATTGAGTAAATCAGATGCAAGATATTGTGACAAATGCTGAGAATTCCATTGTGTATTATAAGTACTGCTGTTTTTGGAATAAGGTAGATTATTATTATTATTCAACTATATAAGAAGATTTAACAAACTTACCTTCAATTGAAATTAAGTCGCATTCATAAACTTTCTTCCAATCATCACCAGGTTCCACTGCACTCAAATCCCAGCATGAACTCAATATAGCTCTATATCCGGTTTTTGTCACTTCATCCAATATTTGTGCCCAATCAGGTTTATACAAGTGAATCACAACAGGAGTTTCTTCCTTAAAATGAGAAGCAGTAAATGTGAAGTTGATAAAATACGCAGAAAGGGGTTGTTATTGCTTGAATGACAGTGGATTTTAAGAGATATACAAAAATTGAATGAGTTGTGAGGCATGATCAACCTTCTTTGCTGATTTGATTGTCAGGTTCATGTGAGCTGTCAGGTTGTAATCCAACTGCTCATACCATCTAAACTAGCCAATCATTAAACTCGAAAGGAACACTCAAATGAGGTATTTAGTTTGAGGTCATAAACGATTCAGTAGCCAATATGCATTTGTATTCCCTGTGAAGTAATTGAGTTAGTCATGTGACACTGGCACTGAAGTATCAGTTAAAGGTGAACTGCAACGACAAAGCTTCTTACTATGTGAACATCGCATGCTTTACTGATATGATTTAGCCAGTTCCAAAGTTTGAAAAAATGAACATATCTCAGTAGCTCATCAATATACAATTGAGAGAAAATCTTCCACCTGATCAAGTCGATAAATCGAAATTCGTCAACGGGACTATCATTTATTATTCTCTGATTTGTATGATTATTATTCTCTTGGGTTACAAGTGGAACATACAGAATCAACAATACATCTCCACATTCTCCTAGCTCCCACTGTTCTCTTCAGCTGGCCGGCTCCGAAATTAGTCATAATCTCTCACCTTCCCCTCCTCAAACCACTCACTCGTCACTTCCTATTTGTATTCCACTCGAGGTCCTGGTGATCGATGTCATTCAACGGCCTCTCCAACGTATGCCTGACCGACTCCACTCAATTTTATGCCAAATATTATTTGAACGATTGGCTCTTGCCTACTGGCTTGTTCCTAGCCAGCCAGAGTTTCTCGTTGCTAATTCTTTCTGCCCAGCTGGCCAGCCATTTGATCTTCAGTATGGAGCCAGCTAGCGATGGTAGCTGTTGACAAAAGTCTGAAATGACTTGTTGGAAATTATTTTCGTAACACACTGTCCAATTATCTGAACTATATAGAAGAACTGACTGACTGACTGACTGACTAACTTTTCATTTGTGTTGAACAAAATCCGAATCTTGTTCGAAACTCTGGCAAAGTCAATGCAGAGGACCTCCAGACTGATTCCTAAGAGGGGTGAACGCGTATCTTTCCTTTCAGATTCTGGCTGTCTGGTTTTGACATCTCTATCCGTTTCGACTGTCTCTGGTTGAAACCTTGCTTTCTAGGCAGATAAGTGATAGAGGCAACCTTTGTCAAATCTCTCCTTTTGATGGTTATTGATGCTGGCTGTTGTTGTTGTTGTGTCTGCTCACGGTAGTGGTTGGCTATCCCTATCACCTCGTCTTCTGTATGTTTAACTGGAATTCTCTCTTTTTTTAGCCAACCAGCTTCTTCTGAAAGCTTGTAGGTGTTCGTCTGCAAGTCATCTAGTTTATTTGACATTAAACATAAATCGTCTGGACAGTCCAGAAATTTCCTGTCTTCTCATCTTCATGAAGATTCTAACACATAATCGAGACCACCTGAATTAGATAGAAAGTAACATCTGTGATAATGGACATTCAACTTGTCATATTCCTGTCTCCGCTTCGAATGCCTAAGTGAGTTTTCCACTGTGGATCACCTAACACATAGCATCATCATTTGACCAGCTGTTGAATGAGGTTGTGTTTGATGAGGTCTTGAACTATGCACACTGTAGTATCCCTTAAAATCACCGTTCCTGTTGTATAATAAAAGGAGTTTATGAGAATATAGATTTGAAGAGATTGTATGATTTTGTTTGTTACTTTTGACAGTGTCGATCAATATGCCATGGTAGACACGAATGGAAGGAATTCTCGAAAGCAAAGTCATAATTGTAGTAGTGATTTAGGAATCCAAAACAAAAGTCCAGTATATTCTAGAATCATTCACAAACGAGTTTATTTCGAATTCACCAGCCCTACTTTATACATATTCATAAATGTATAGTGTAATAAAAGATGTCAGTCGTCTTCAAATAGATCAATCCCTATCCGAGGAAGTAACCAGGCTGCAATATATCAATGGATATTGAGATTATAGTGAAATCTGTGTTCATCTCGCTTATTTTCTTCGTGTAGTATTACAGATGGATATCCTCAAAGAGTTCAATCACCATCATTTTCATAAAATACGTCAAATATCCGAATTTCTATCGCGTTTTATTCATATCCAAAAACCAAGCACTCAGAAACAACTTGACTCAAAGAAAAGTCTTTAGAAAAAACCATAACTTACACGAAATCCATTCTCGAATACATCTTGCCAAACAATTGGTGATGTTGTCCATTCTGATGAATTCGCGCCTAGAATAGTGGTCATAAGTCGCTGAAAATAATAACTCTCCAGTTTTGTGTAGTCATCCCCATATCCGTTGTCATTCATAAAGTTCCGGATGAAAGGATTGGATTTCCTGAAGAAGTGAAATAACACAAGCAATACATGCATGGAAAGAATGCGACAATAGCTGTAAACTTTTACCACTAAGCTACTGAACATAAAATTACTACATCAACACAAGAAAATCACCATGAGTGCATGCTTGTGAATAAATTATTAATATAAAATAATTTGCTTTATTCCAAAACACTACTTGTGATACAGAATGGAATTCTCAGCATTTACTACAATATTGCATCCAGTTAGTACATTTCACATTAACATTAACAGTATTGGTTAGTTTCCATGTCAACACTTTACTTTCAAAAGTGCAGTTTCGTTTCGACAAAGTCACTGTCAGCTAGGCTGTACATTCAGGTATTTATAATAAATAGGTGGGAAAGGTCCAGAATAATTTCTGGTCAAGGGTCAAATTATTAAAATTACACTTAGGCATAAATGCAATAATGAACAAAAGGACGGATAATGCTGAAACAAAGTAGCATCAAAATAACTGAGAGGACTGACGTACTGTGCAATTAGGGGGTTAGAAATGTAGAAATAACAAAAGTAAACAGGATGTTTGAATAAAAAATCTAGTGGGATCATAACTAATGTGACCAATAACTGTTTATGCAATCAGGATTGAATATGTAGAAATAATAAAATGAGAAAACGGGCAGGAAGTTCGGATAGGAATATCGTTAGTTGCAGGCTTACGACGAAGTATGTCTTCCTCAGAGATTTGCGGAGGATTTCCGCGTCAATGTCACCTTTGAATCCCAGATTAAGCAGAAGTATCTTCTTTGGAACAGACTGAACTTGTTCGCCATTCACAAGTCCTTCAAAATAATGTACAGAATTCCATGAAACATATCAAAAGGAGTAAAATCAAGATATCTGGGCATAGCTGAGGCGCTTACCATTCAAAAGCTCGATCTTACGCTATGTATCCAAAAGAAATACGTCAAGCCCCTGTCCCCGGCACGGCCATCATAATCAGGTACTTTTTTTGGTGACTATCCGATTGCCTTTCTTATCCAAACTTCCTGTTTATTCATGCTACTGTTAAGTTTTTCTTAGTCCCTATTTACACTACCATATTTTCATATCCGAACTTCGTGTCTATTTTGTCGTTTCATTATTTCTAAATATTTAATTCCTGATAGCACAAACAATTATTCATCTCATTAGTTATGATTCCACTGGGTTCTATATTCAGACATCCTGTCTATTTTGTTATTTCTACATTTCTAACCCCTAATGATGATGCTATTTTTTGAGTTTAATCCGTCCCCCTGTTTATTATGGCATTTTAATTCTCAATTGTAATTCTCTTAATTTGACCCTTGACCAGAAATTATTCTGGAACTTTCCTACCCATTTATTATAAATACACGAATGTACAGCTTAGTTAAGGATTACGTCGAGAAGAAAGTTTTCTTGGTTGCAACGGTCTTTTGATTTCCTAAGATCAAATGTGTATATTTCGTAATTTGTTGATTATTGTTTCATTGGTTTGTCAACAGCGAAATTGAATTGCAAATGCGCATGCGGTACCTCTACTGTTTTGGTGATTAATTTAACACCAGGTAGATGATATGGGAGTATTCATCAATCTTGGCTGGCTTTGGGGCAGTTTGTACCATATGGTTTAATATCGAAATTTTATGGTATTTACTACAGCTGTACTTAGATGTTCTCGAGCAACGGCCAATATAACTCGCTCCATCACAAGCGTAGTTGAATTGGTAGATACAATTGGAATTGACCAGTCTAGTCTAGGCACTTCATTTTTCAGTTAGGCGATCACCAGCGCCGTGTAGAGAATAAGACGTGTAGTTCGCTAGCATTGAAGGTTCTATGAACTGATTTTCTTAATTTCTTCGTAATTATTTGACTTGGTATATCGCACTTGAATTGCAGTCGTATATATAAAGGTTTCTTGTTCACGGATAGTCAGTAGTCCTTTTCCGCTTTCTTTGTCATCTGTTTCTTAATCAATCTGTCGGGATAGCTATTTTTAATCAAAGTATCACATACAATGCTCAATTCATCTTCCATTACTTCTTGTAAGCATACAGCTCTAACTCTGTGGCTGAGGGTCTTCACTAAATTTTTTTTTTCATCGAGAGGAAAGAAGAGGTGAAAATGGGTATATTGTCCTGTCCACATACTTTCTAATTCTATTTTGGGATTCTCTCCGCAAGTGAATTTCATACCCGATTGTACTTCATTGAATGCAGTTATTATTCTACTCCTACTCTAATCATTATCACAAAGAATGAGGCTGTCATCCGAATACCGGCAATAAAATAAGAACTTCTTGATAAGGTTGTCCAAAGTTCCATTTTCTAGTGTATTTAGAAAGAAATCAGCCGAAATGGGAACAATTTGGGAGCCCATCACCACCCCGTTTACTTGTCTGTAAAGTTTCCTGTCAAATTTGAAATTTACATTCATGGTACACCTTAATAGCAATCCCTTTGCGATTTCCGTCGGGATGCCAATATTAATCGACTGGTTATACACCTGTTCACATATGTTAGTTAACTGTTTCTACTAGAGGTACGTTTGTGAATAAAGATGTTATGCGCAAAGATATCATGGTTTTCTCCTTGACATTATTATCTTTTATTTGTCTGCGAATTCAAATTCATCTTTGACTCTATATTTCATCATCTTCGCATGCGAAGATCTGAGAATATTTACTAATCGTCTGCAATTTTTGTATGAGTTTAGGTATGTTATTTGTTATATGGAAAAGACGGTAATTCACATGTGTTAAACATGAAATTACTTTTTAAAAAAGTCATAGAGGCTCATTGAGCTTTGTTGTTCTTTTTTCATCTGTCTCGCTTCTTTAGAGTTTGCCATGTCGTTGATAAGTCTATCCCTTCTTTCCTATTTACTGCATTCGATGTGGTTAAAATGTGCAAGGCATCAGAGGTCAACCTTTCTTTATGTGGTGAATGAAATCCTCTTCCAAGAATTTAGACACTGTCGAAATCAATCTTATGTCCGCTGTCTGTAGCATGCATATTGCATTAGCTGATCACTTCTCTAGACTTTTAAATTCTACTTCATTTCTAAGTGGACGTTGCGTGCATAGTCTCTGTTCATTCATTCTGACCTTCATGTGACTAGTGCTCTCACCTATGGAGCAAGCTTTACATTCTGAATACTATCCTATGGACACAGTTATTTTGTGTTATTTTGGGAACTATATCTTTGACATTCACGAAAGCTTTCTCTAGAGAATTAGATGGCTTGAAATAGACTTTAATATTATATGAAGCAAATGGTCTTTGAAGTTGTTTAGCTGTATCCTTTCGATATTGGATGGCTATACAATATACAGAAAACTGATACATTACAACAAGTGTTTGAATTTCCAATCAGATCATCCAATAGAAATGAAAGTTTCAATAGCTTTCAATCTCGTTATAACAGAGCTAGAAACATTATAACAGATAATGATGGTGTTGTGGAGAACGAGATATCCAATATAAAACAGATTTTGATTGGAAATGGTTATCTTGAAAAGCTATTAGATAATATGATCAATATAACGGGGCAGAACGGTTGACTTCTGGGGCCCTGCATGTTTTAACCACATCGAATGCAGTAGATTGGAAAGAAGGGATAGACTTATCACCTATATGCCATACTCTAATGAAGAAAGACAGATGAAAAAACAACAAAAGCCTCGATGAACCTACATGACCTTTGAAAACGTTTCATCGTGTTTATCACATGTGAATCGACGTCCCGTTTCATGTGACAAATAACGTACACTCACAGGCACTCATACAGACAAATATACACGTTAGTCATTACAAATATGTGGCGATGATACATATGTGTATGGACAAGTGACCTCCAAATGAACTGACTTCAATTTATGGAAAACATTTTTGACCATATATTCTGATGAATAATGAAATTGGAATAATTCTGCTGAAGAAGCTGTGGATTACACAGAGACATGTTTATAAAACAGAACTTGTCTTAATTTTTTCTTAAACACGCTTGGATGAATTTAAGTGATTTAAAATGTACCTGATTTCTGGATAGCTTTTTTCATAATCTTGTGACACCTTAAATCTAGCTTACCTAACTAAAACATTACCAGCCGTTAGATACAACTACACAAGAAGTTGGGACAAGGTGACAGAGCTAAATCTTGTGTACGAGGGTGGAGAGAGATTAACAGGCATAACTTTCAGCGAAGAGACTCTTTTCGGCTTTATTTGGTTACAGGATTTCATCATGAGCTTACATTGGCTAGAGAACCATTGGAAGCTACCTGGGCTTGTAGTGGGAAGTCGTGACCAGTAGGGTGCAGCAGGTTGGGTGTGAGGACAAATACTCGCCGAAGACATTGACTAGCGGTTGCGCTATATCGTGAATTGGTAGATGTTAGAATTCATGGGCCATTGGATCGGGTCCCAGCAGCTTAATGGTCTACAAGGTCTCTAGCCTTGTAACAGTAGGTCCTTGGTTCGAATACCGGTGGTTGAGTACTAGTGAAGAGTCCCAAACTAGGACAAAACAGCTGTCCTGTTCTCCTGAATATTTTCCAATGGTTCTCTAACCAATGTAAGCTCATGATGAAATCCTGTAACCATTCAATCAACTCCATACAAACCAATACTTGAATAACTTTATTTACTGAAACAACTGAGAACACATGTCATAGGGATTACTCATCACCCAAGACAGATTATCTAGAAGATTCCACTATACTCCTGACAAATGGGAATGAAGAATGAGAACTATGAAACCTAAGTTTTGACGTCGAACAATAAAATGCACTCGAAATATCATCCAAGAAATAATACTCTTCCGCTGAGTACGATGCATTCACTACACCAAAAATAATGCAGAATTGTGTACTGCCACATTCACCAAGTTTTACATATTTATGAACGATATTTATATTTATAAATCATATACTTCTGTCTTTCAGTGACCAAAAACCTTAACACATTATTTCGCTAACACTTTATTCGTTCGAACATACATAAAGCTGAAAAAACTGCGTCTTGATAACTTACCAACAGTCGTAAGATACATCACTACCACCTAGATGAATCATACTGTCGGGAAATGCAGTCAACACTTCATTGAAAATTCTCGATAGAAAGGTATAAGTGATATTTTCAGTTGGATTCATAGGACCATAGGCAAAATCTGGTTCATCGCCTTTAAAACATCTAGTGAGTAATGGGATATTGAGTAGGTTCCATCGCATTGTATGAGCTAGAAAAAAGAAAAAGAGATGAAGGCAGATATTTTATAGACAACGACGAACAGTAATGGATAAAACATCCCATAGGGCAACATCAAAATCCTTGTGGTAGATGTTTTTACCTGTTGACTGGGAACAGATAATACAGGAAGAGAAGTCTAGAAGATCTGGGATTCGCTGATGATACATGTCCGATTTCACAAAGACTGGAAGTATGACAGGCGAATGGTGACAGACTGACAGGAGAGGCTGGCTGGCAGTGAAGACAAGACTCCAGGTGAACATAGAGAAAACGGGGGTGATGAAGACTACCAACTACCACAACAGCAACAGCGAAAACCGAATACCAATCACCATCAACAGGAGAGATTTAAGTGAGGTTACTTCCTTCTTTTATCTGACCAAGAAACACGATTTCAACCGCAGACAGTTGGAAGGGATGAAGATGTCAGATCAAGACAGCCGGAATCAGAAACTCAAGAAAGACCTTCATCAACCTGTAAACACTTTGGAAATCGTTTGCTCTCATTCAGCCGGTGTAAAGAAGCAGATTCAGATTTGCAACTCTACCACCAAGTCATTCGGTTCCTCTGTGTGGGTCAGAGACTTTCATTGCGTGTGGGCCACGAAAAGGATTTCCAACAGGTCACTTTAAACTTCTGTCAACAGCTGACCACTTCTCTGGTCGGCTCCATACTGAAGATGGCTTTACAGAAGGAATTAGAACGAGAGATGGTGGATAAAATGTTTTTGTATACATTTATTCTTGATTTGTTGTCTAATAACCTCCACTTACTGTCGATTTGAGATGAGTTTCAAAGCTTGAGATTATGAACCGAAACAGTGTATTTTGAGTCGATTTCAGTCTTGTATGTATCCAGCCTCTAATTGGTGCTTCAGTTATTTTCTGTAACAAGAAATTAACTTCTCGCAGGATAATCAAAAAGAACCTCTCCAGACAAATCAGAGGGAGAAATTCCGATTCCCGAAAAGACGTTGAAAAACAATGGTTACTGTCAAAAATTGAACCGAACAGTAAAGGTGGTAATATTGAAGGAATGGTAAATAGAAGAATGAATACCACACCAGACAGATTCTACCCTCTCGGTAAGTTAGTTCCTGCTTATCAGACAAGGTTGTCTCTGGTGTCTCATGGGAACAAATCGTTCCTATAATGGCACTGCTAGGCATCTAATCGATTTGTTTCTCGGAGAAGACGCCATGGAATCCTCTAAATTTATCATTAGTGAATAGTCTACACTTCACCGTTAGTCTTACGAAGCAACTGCTTAAATCCAATTTATGTTTTTAGAAGGAAGCAGTTATCACTCCTATACTGGTGAACCCATGTCTTTGCTTTTGGCTTCATTCGATTACCTGTTATTTAGCTTTAACCTCTTCTCCTATTCGCTATGGTGTAACTTTGTTCCTATGATTTGAAGCGAACTCACGCCATTGTATTTTAACTTATTAGTTACTCACCATCTTATCCATTTTTTGTCATTATCGCATAACCAACCACTTTGCTACTGCACTCAAACATTTAGATTTTCACTATGGCGAAAATCTGCATTCAGATATTTAGAAAAACCTTATCGATGTTTTCCTTTTCTATCTCTATAACTATATGCACATTTATATGCCTATATACGTAGAATATTCTTGAACAATCCCCATTAACAATATTGGTGAGGATCCTTAAAACCTTGATTGATAGCCGAGGTAAAGACAGTGTCTGAACCAACCAACTTCTTTTGAATGCATAAGTTAAGTTTCTTAATATAGACAACAACAGTCATCCTCAGTAATATGTAGTAGACGAACTCTGAAGGTAAAGTTAAGACTTCCCGATGTACGGTAGATGACTTTGAAAGCAGCCTCGTTACATCTATCTTATAATCTGTTTTCATGAGATGCGATAGAATAGCGCTATGAATGGATTTTGTTTTTCCTTTACTTCACCAACCACGCAGGATGATGTTCGGAAATCCGATGATAAACACGAATAATTAGACAGCCTATGTAACTGGTACACTCCACAGGGGCAGTTAAATTGGTAGCTACACAGAGGTGAGGCGAAATTAAACAGTTAATCTTTTACTTTCGTCAACTAAATACGGTAGGTTTTGAAGACAGCAGAATAAAGCAGTACGAAATGCTCCTTTTTCTGTCGTATCCATTCAGCGTTATGTTAATATCTCATTGATGTTATTCTCAAAGAAAATCAGTATTGGTTATAGGATTTCATCATGATCTAACATTGGTTAGAGAACCATTGGAAAACGTGGGAGTACTGGACAGCTGTTTTGTCCTAGTTTGAGACTCTTCAGCGGCAGGCACCCACGGGATGCAAACCCAGACCTCTGGTTACAAGGCGAGCTCGTAGACCATTAAGCCACTGGGACCCGATCCAATGGCTCATGAATTCTAACTTCTGCCAATTCACGATATAGCGCAACCGCTAGTCAATGTCTTTGGCGAGTATTCATCCTCAACAGGTTCTGACCCTGGCGGTGGTTGCGTATTGCTGAAGAATCCCCAACTAGGACGAAACATCTGTCTAGTACTCCCAGCTGGTTTTCCAATGCTTCTCTAACCTATGTCAGCTTATGATGAAATCCTATAAGCAGTCAACCAAATCCCTATAAACCAATACTTGGAAAATCAGTATTGCTAATGATAATTATTTTAGAGTTTTTTGTGTATATAAGTACATGTAATTGACGATTCATGTTTATTATTTTGAAGTTTCCCTTCAACTAGTATGATGCAACATTTTGCAAGTATATTAAAGTTGTTTTATGCATAAACTATAATTAAGCAACTGATGAGAAGTTGATGAAATAAACGGCAATTCTGAACAAACCGTTGTTCTTACTTCATTCAAAAGAACCTCTTCTCTCAAATCCTGAGCTTGATGACACATTCGCTAGATAGCTGCGTTCACATCTTTGAATTATTCAATTTGTAATATAAATCGTGGTAAAAACCAGTACGACACCAAGAAGGTTATTTTAAAGTCGTTCTTACAGAAAATCTGAAGCGGTCTGTCAAATACGAGGAACTGATGTACAACAAAAATGTCATATTTTCATTCATTTACATATATGACGGCTTACAAATACCACAAGAAATGGAGAGCAATCACTCTTGAAATCTGTAAGAATTAAATTACTTCTAATGACAAATACATTCTGAGTAGAAACAATGGGTTGAGGATTCAGCTTTACAGTTTTAATCAGAAATGTATTTTCCACGAGTTGGGGTTGCAAGCCTCACGCGTCAGCTCGTGTATTCAAGCTAGGATCAACTTCGTATTCTCATATTGAACCACCAATACAGTTTACAAGTTTATCTCATGCGAGGTAGTTCTGTTCATTGAATCAATATTAGATAATAGCCAACCGAAAAAAAGCACGTCAAAAATGCATACATCATATAATCGCTTACCTGGTGTTTGAAATTCTGGTATTACACGTACACCTCTTAAACGTGCATACTCCAGCAAAGCATTAACTTCATCTGGTAAATAAACTGTAGATTTATCATCATAAGAACCCTTAAAAATATATATATGTGACGTGTTCATCAGAACTTTACCCATGTAGAGAGTTCTGGATATGAGAAAAAGCTGTATGGAAAGGATTCATCATCTGTCACATGCCAATGAAGTATTCATTTTAACCATTGACATTGCATCCTATATAACAACATGTGTATATATGTATTTCAACTTCGATTAGTGCTCACTTACTATCATCTTCACGATTTCAGAAATACTCAGAAAATGTCTAGCAGTGTCGATCATAATTCCACGATGTGTAAATATCGGCACATCATTGACAACACCTTGATAAATCACCTTCTGTCGAAAACGGAATTGTGTGCAGCCCAGTGTCAATAGAAATAAGATCTTAGAAACTGGAAATGATAATTGAACAAACCGAATCTAATTCACTTCTGTAGACGAGTTGAAGAATCGTCTCTAGAGCATGTAGTGTTCCCCATATCTCTTGTGATGATATTTCTATAACCCCATCAGTTATGTTCACCATGTCTGTAAATCAAAAGATGAGTTTGAATGGGGAGGAGATTGAAGTAAGCGAGTGAGTTGATATCCCACTTACATGACTCATCCATCATGATGGCCAAAGTTTGTTTTCCGTCTCATCACACGACTGCTCCATATCCACATACAGTGATGTTATAAAACAGCTAGCAATGTCATTCGAAGCTAACGGGGCTGGGTTATTGATTGTTAAATGTTCATAGAATCGTTTTAATGCTTCCATTAGAATGAAACATGAGTGGTAGTCATGTCTAAATTCAATTGCTTCATTAATATTACACAGTATTGTTGTAGTTTGATTGTATTCATATGGTTTCGGAATCAGAGCTGAGATTAATACTGTGAAGTGAATAATGAGTATGATGCATGGAAACCTGTTTCTATTCATTTTTAATGTGTGATAATACAGATTGATTTCAGTGGAGTATATACGTGATTGTTTTTTTTTGAATAAGGCGCTGTATAGATTTATGATTTATGGACTTTTAACCTTCAGGAATCATATAAATAGACTGATAAAGATAGAGACAGGGAGAGGATAGGGTGATATTTTGATTTCGAAAAAGATGGAATTCGATTCATAAATTTTATTTGTACTTTTTATCTATGAATAAAGGCTTCTATGCTCAAGTATAAAACTATAAAATGACACTTAGGCTTAACTAATAACCCTTATATATTTTCACATTAAATAACTGAATGGTTTTTTTTATCTAAGAATCCATAGTACAAAGTAATTCATCTTTGAACATTCTATGGTTTGAATTAACATTCAGTTATTCAGTTTTCACGCTTAAATATTGTTTAGTTTGAGTTAAACATGAGACCAGTTGATT